TAAAAAAGATGTAGATCTAGCTTTTTTATCTCTACTCTACTGATTTTGAGATAATTTTTTTCAGGGAAAAGTGGAGGAAAAATTTAAAAAATCTAAGAAAATTTTAGAGAATAGTTAGAGAATGATATAATATTGTATTTTATATGAAAAAAGTGAGAGTAAGATATGATAAAGAAGTTGCAAGAAGAAAATGATGAGATATTTAAAAAAGATGTAGATCTAGCTTTTTTATCTCTACTCTACTGATTTTGAGATAATTTTTTTCAGGGAAAAGTGGAGGAAAAATTTAAAAAATCTAAGAAAATTTTAGAGAGTAGTTAGAGAATGATATAATATTGTATTTTATATGAAAAAAGTGAGAGTAAGATATCTGATGAGGAAGTTGCAAGAAGAAAATGATGAGATATTTAAAAAAGATGTAGATCTAGCTTTTCCATCTTTACTTTATTGATTTTGAGATAATTTTGAATTAATATGATGAATTAATGTGATTGAATTAATGTGAAGAAGAAGTTACATATAAGACATATTTGCACATCGAACAAATATTTGCAAAAGAATGATGTAGCATGAAGAAGATGAATAGATGATCGAGGGGCAAAATATGTAAGGAGAAATTTGTGAAATTAAAGATACAAATGCAGAGGTTGGACGAATAAAATTTTAACAAATTCTAAACAAATTCTCCATAAATCAGGATGACCTTAATCCATCAAGTCGGACGATAGAGAGAGGATAACGGAATTACCTTCCAATCTAAAAGACTATCGACATCGGCCACGGGTTGATAAATTCGCTTTAATTAACCGGAAACAAGCGGGAACCTAAGCTTCGAGGCAGTTTCTGGCAACTATCGAGTTGTTATGGGAATTTATTACGGGAATAGCCCAAAGACAGAATTGTTTCCATCAGTTTCAGAAGTTTCCACTACGAAGTCAGTGCTGATAAGATTTCGACAGATTATGAAACCCTCCAAGTAACTAATATACAAGTTTCACGTGTTTCACAAACTTAACTCCTGTCTAATGATTAGTTATTTCATCGTTGCTTAGATCTCGTTTCGTTTTCTTTCGATTTAACTTTTCCTTTGATATCGAGAGTAAATGATCTAACGAAATATTAATTGGGTGATAAATC